CGTGACATAATTTTGACAATTTTGAGTTAGGTACGTCAAGACATAGGTCTAATATCGATGTACATATATGGACATGCCACGGCTATATTTAGTGGTTTAGAAAAAGATAGATGTATCTATTATCTTCATCTTTCTCTCTCATCAGGTTATAAATTAACTATATTTACGCCATGGCACACCCATATATATATACCGATGGGTCTAAACACCAAACATCACATCACATGCCTAAACTTTATTTACACTGTTATCGATAATTTAAATACGCCAAACATGTTTTTGCCAAACTACTTAATTATTTACTTCTAGATTCTAAACAATTTTACAGTTTACGCCGAAATATTATTTAAATTTTGAATTTTTTTACAATATTTTTTCATAATTGTCCAAAAAGTGTTTCAAATTTCGCATTTTCCAATGTTACACGACATTTTTGTAAAAGGGTAGAAATTGTATAAAAATAAGACTAGAATACACCAATTGAAAAATACGTTTTGTTTTTTTTTTTTTATAACATAAAGAAAGCACAGTTTTGAATGTATTACATAGATCAAATATTTCGGATGGTTTTAAACTGTGCAACAATCGACATTGATACCAACGTAAATGCCCATGTGACATTATGAGGCTAGGTATTAAATGTAGAAATAAATGCGTTGTTGGTTTATTTTGGTTCACTTTGAAGCTAAGTGATATTTTAAAGCTTAGAAGTTATGTATATTTTAAAATATAACACTTGATATAGCGATCTAAAATAAGAAACAGTTATAAAGTGACGACTCAAAGATCTACTATAGCCTAAAAGATAAATTTTGATTTCTTGGCCTAATTTCATTTCGTTTTCAATAACAGGTAAAATTATCAAAATTGATTTACATGTATACCCATAAAGACAGAAAGAGTACACTTTTCTCACCGAAGAGTAAGGAAACCATTAAAAAAATATTATAACACGACCAAAACTATTTCATTTCAAACGGATTTTTGCTTTGAAATGGATATGACACTAACATGTCGGGTTAAACGTACCCTTAAAACACCGATATAGAGATCCATTATCTATTACATTAAGTACTTTTAAGTACACATATATTTTTTTTGTATTTATTTGTTTTTTGTTCGTTGTTCACTACATCGATAGCATGTTATAAGCTGAATGGGGTATGCTTAAAGCACGCTATCTTCGGACCCATTTATAAAAAATACACTTTATTTGACGGAATTTTATAAAAGAGCCCTGAATTACATTACATTAATTACTAACTTACAATATAAGATACATGAAATTACTACTATGTGAGTTATGAATTGAAAACCTGGCTATCCTGTCTACTCTTAAATTACGGTTAATAATTGTGTATATTTGGCTAAATATCGTAAAACAAGCGAAGTCAACGTAAACGATGAAGCGTAAAAAGAAAAACTTTAACAATCAATAAGGATGAGTAATTCAAATCAACAGCAATTCATTAATAAAAACTTAACAATTTACCCAACTTGCACGAATCGAACACGTTTATTTAAAAACCGTGCAAGCTCGTGCAAGTTGAGCAATCAATTTAACTTGAAATAAAAAATGTAATGTAATCGCAAGTTGAAAACGCGAATCGTTTGTGATCGATTACGATAATGTTCGTCAAAAGCGTGTATTGTCAAAATCGATGTATCTATTTACTAAATACTGTCAACTGTTTTGACGGAGACCATCGTAAAAGTCCACTAAGTTTCTTCCAGAATTTTGTTTTTCAAAAAATATAATATTTTTTTTGGAAAACAAAACCATGGCTTTAAATTTTCATCATACTGCCCCTTGCAATAGTACCGAGGGAAATAGTTGCCTCAATTTTATCAATATCACATTCAGTCAATAAACTCTTTATTCTATAACAGTGTCTATCAATAATTTAGCCTGTTTTATCAAATTTGTACGAAAAAAATATTATATACAACTATCCCCCTCTCTATTAGATCAGTACGAAGGATTTTTTGTTTAGTCAACTTATCCTCCTAGTAACAGAACATGTAAAACAAGTATTAAATCGTAAATATTAAATGCCAATCAAACTATATATTTGTGTGCCACATCCATTTCCCTACAAAAATCTACCAACAACGCATTTTGCAGAAAGTCGTACCAAACTACGTTATTGCATCGCAGTGTGACAACAGAAACCAGTACTATTGATACTAAAAACGATCAAGGAATATTTATGCGGAAAGCACATATTTTCCTTGATTACGTTTGTGCCTTTCGGCAATTACTGTTAATTAGGCTTTATTATTAAATGTACACAGCTTAACTATGGAATTTTTCATCGTAAAATAAATGTAGAAAAAATTTTTTCTTATTTTTTTTTATAATATTAAAAAATGTAACCTTCCAAAACTTAAGAATAACCTCTGACAACTCGCAAACACGACCTGTTTTTTTATAACTATTCCATTTTCGATGATCACAGAAAATACGTTTTGGTCTACATTTTTGCGCGCGCGCAGATTCCTAATACTTAATTTTCAGTTTAATCAAAAAATCCTTATCTATTAAAATTTTATTATCTCGAAAATACGTTTTTTTTTACAAATATGTATGTGTCGCGCAAAAATATAGACGGATAAGACTTGAACACTTTCTTGGAAACGTAACTTTTGTTCTAAAAATCTAAATTTAGGATACACGATCCGTGCTTCTTGCTTTGTACAACTCGAGTCACGAGTTAGTTCCTTAAAACGATGGGTTATTTATAACTTTAAAAATACCAAACGTCCATAAATTTTTCCATCTACTACGACCTAAATTTAAAAACAATAGCATTTATACAATATTCATAGGAACTTTTTTCTGTTGTTATATTAAATTTATTTATATATTAAATTTATGAGAAAATTTTTACATAAATAGCGATCCGTTCACTTAATTTTTTATTGCGATTGTAGGAATTTTTGTATTATTTCTTAATATCAGTCGAAATGTTTGATTTTTGCGTCCAAATATGTGATTTAACGTTTCCTAGAAAACTTAATCATCATCGGGTAACCCTTCGCGTCAGAACTGTCCATTCCACTCCAAATCATATTAAAAATTTGCCGAAAAGTTTTGTATTTGATAAATAAAATACTTGTAATCGAAAACAATCAAAGTATTTCTCACTGAGAACCAAACGTCACGAACAACTGAAAAACAGTTTTGGGCTATTGCATTGGTTTTTTTTTCTATTTACATTGATACCCCATAACAGTGGACCTACGCTGTGCAGTATCCACCGTGGGACGAGATATCAATATTAATTCAAGAAAATCATTATATACGTTAAAATCAGCTTACAATACCTTACCTATGTTACGATTATTATATTCCAATTTGTCCGCACAAATTCGCAACAAAACGCATTTGTTCGGACGAATCGTCACTTAATTATAATACATGATGATAATATTAAAAGAATTATTCGGCAACACTTGACATTCTTATTGCAACTGCAAAATCGTTCTGATTTTGATGAAACCAGGACGATTTTGCTAGCTTTTTTAATGTGAACTATAAAACTACTATTCGGGCAACTGTATTGTGTTTGTATAACATCGTGTTGTGTAAAGTATGATTTGTATATCATGTAAAATGATTCGGGCTATTGTTTATTTTGTTGTGAAAATTAAAATAAATATATTACTTGGGCTATGTCTGAGTCCGTGTTTAAAGAATGTCTCGTGTTCTTTTCGTCCATACAAGACCGTCCGTCGAATCGATTTTAGTATTCGACTAAGTCCAATTCGGCATATCGTGTATCGATTCAGTGAATAATCGCTATTTTTATATACCATGAAAAATCACATTTATTTACAAAAAGAAAAGAAAAATAACGGCAGTCTTCTGAAAAAACATAATTCAATATATTTTATTATAACTATACAAAAAAATCTTTCAATATTCAATAGATTTTTTCGTCAAAAATAATAACCGTTTAATAAAAAATAAATTGTTATTTTTTCATTTTTCAAAAACAGAAGCATCAACATTTTCTAAATCTATATATGTACAATTATTACTAATATGGCATTTAAATAATATTTTAAGCCAAGAAATAAAGGATATATGAAAAAAATAAACAATTTTGAGATTAATTTTAAAAAATAGAATTTGTGCGTTCGAAATTTGACTAGCATGAGACGTGTTATTGCGTGAAAGATAAAAACAATGTTAAAAATACATGTAAAATATTGAAATAATAAAAATATTTGGAAACTTAATGTAAGAAAATATTGCAAAGGTTCGCTAAATGCGATAAAACGTGCTTAAAACGGTTTGGCACATCCAAAAAGTTTGTACTAAGCTAAAAAATACGTTGTTCTGAGATAAAGCTAATAAAAAATAAATATATAAAATAATTTTATAACAAAACCTCTTAGCCGGGCATCGAGCCCGCTAACGGAGAGTTCTTGCTACGTATATTTTGTAAAATTCACCATTTAACACTAAAAATGAAAGTAAATAAATATCGACATATAACACTCAAAAAAACCAAACAAATATTTAATGAAGATTGCACTCAATACCTACATCTAATTATTTGTTCGGGCGAGTTTCTGTTCCAATTTGTTCATTCATCTATTTTAATTTAATTTTTATATTTACACAAAATTTGATTTTACTACGCCTATTTACATCAGTTAGGTCTATCTAAGTTTTAGTATATCTTCAATATCTCATTTGAATTAAGTATAACGTTAAAATAACGAACGAAATTACTAATCAGAGGCGATTTCACGCTCCGAAAATGAAACTCCGAAAATATTGTCCATTGAAAGAGCTCTGACGGATTTGACAATAGAAAAAAAATCAACTTTAACACCTAAATTTAATTTTGTATTCCTATTAAATGTTCGAAAGTTATTTTTTAAATCATCAAACATCAGAGCTAACGATAACATATAGAAAGTAACAAAATAATTTAGTTAACGTTTATAATTTACATCGCGTCGGATTAGTAATAGCTGAATTTTCATGGCTGAGTGTTTTGTTGTAGGTGGACAGCTTGTTGTGCTGCTTGTTGTGCGGCTTGTTGTGCGACTTGGGCGGCTTGTTGCATTTGTTGTTGTTGAACCACTTGCTGAGCGGCCTGAGCAGCCTGAGCCGCCTGAGCCGCCTGAGCGACCTGAGCAACCTGAGCAACCTGAGCCTGAGCCTGAGCCTGCTGAACTGGCGAGGGGAGATTAAAACCCAGCATTCTCGGATCGTGCAATCTAAGCGCTTGCTCTAGTCTCTGTTCCTGAGCAATTCTGAAGGCTTCTACTAACTCGGGTGATAGTTGCTCATTCGTTTGGAACCCGTTATGTCGTAATGGCGGGTTTTCATTGTTATGTGCTTGCGACACAGCTAATCTTAGTGCTTCAGCCTGAGTTCTAAGTAAAGCTTCAGCTTGCTGGATTCGTAATGCCGCCTCAGACGGTGGTTGGGCTTCTTGTGTCGGTTCTCTCGCTAGTTGTTGACGCATTGCTGATACTAAATTTGCCGCTGCCACTTGTACTGCGTTGTTCTCACCAGATTGGGTCATCATGTTGGCAGCTGCGGCTATGGCAGCCATTCTCTCGTCATATTGGCCATTTGATCGGAGGAGGTCTGTGAGTTTATTTACGGCTGTCCCGACTTCAGAACCTGCTGATGATGAAAGGCGTCCGTTGGATGAAGAGTCAGAATGTGCCGGTGATGGTGGTGCAAGGTTCAGTAGACCAGAACTACCAGCGGATGCTGAGACGGCAGCTATTATGTCTCTCTCGCGTCGCTCTGCAGCAGCTCGAGATAGAACGTATTGAGCCGCGAACTGATGTTTCGGTTCCATTCGCATATGTTCCATGTGGGAGAGGAGGCCTGTAATTAGTTATGAACAGTATTACGACTTATTTACAATGAAGGTAAGCTAAATGAAAAAAATATTAGAACACAAGTTTTTGACATATACTTGATAAATATAATACTTGTTGTTGTAATACTACAACTACTTTATCTATGACTTTGAATTCTAGAAAAGATCATGGATTCGATTCCATTCATGAAACACATAAATTTAAATACTTACCACTTTCGTGTGTAAACACTGCTTGGCAAACAGAACACGGCCACATTCGAAGTCCACCCGACAGTTGCGACTCAGGATGACAAGCGAGATGTTTTCTCAAAGAACCTTCATTCACATAATGCTTGCCGCACACTGGACACGGGTGATTCGCAGTCCGCCGCTTCGCTATATAAGGATCAATAGGTTTAGCTTGTGGATACGGTGATGTTGAGGGCGGACCTGACATCATCGGGAAAGGTTAGTGGGTTAGGGAGGGAAGGAAAAAAAAACATACGGTTAGTTCCAAGTTAGTTTTGTTCGGTGGACGACGACCTTTGTCAATCGATGATACAATACTGTTTATATTTTATATTTACCTTTCTTGGAATAAGGTACAAACGATACAACGATAGTATCCTTGAAAGCTTTTATTAAATGGGTCACAATGTTTATCTTTAGGGAAGCTTTTAACAAAAGTCGTCGTGTCTTAATAATAATAATGAAAGAAACGGTTTGAAATGACGGAAAACTAAAACAAATTAAGTTGATGGTATTGAAACGATGTCTGTTGAAAACGAGGGTAACAAAGCTATAAGATATATAAACAAAACATGTTATGATAATAAAGCTTGCACATCATCCGAAGAACCGTTTGAACCAAGAAATGTTTAGAAAACAGTCTACCCTTCCAATAAAGCAGAAACAATAACAGACGATTCTTCAGATGGTATTAACTATAGTTATGACTTAAATTATGGAAACGATACGTTTTTGGTATTACCGTGGTTATAAAAACCAACACCCCTTATGGCTTTGTGTACTCTGGAAGCTTTTCATACTTTAAAATCGCAAATGTACTTATTGCGTTTATCAGGCAAGGTAAAAGGTAAAATATGCTATGCTATAAGCTTCCAGTTACTAGTCTTACATACTAAAAATCCCTTCTGTCAGATTGTCTGTAATAATCATTATAATATAAATATTACTCAATAAAAATAATCTAATAACAAATCTAAAGACAATCAAAACAAAACAGATACTTAAATCTAAACATATCAATAAACCTGGGAAATCCAAAGAAACCCTATCTATAGTCGCAAGAGAATAGATGACGTTTCTTTAACGAAAAGCCGAAGAGCCGAGAAACTTACTCGCAACGCCGGACGCATTCGGGTCCTTATGAGTGTTCTTCATGTGCTCTACTAGGGCTTCGCCCCCGAATACGACTTTGTGGCATATGGGGCATGGGGTGGCCGTGGCGCCACCTATCATAAGTGCCGCATGTTGCTGCAAAACACCAAGGTGCAGCTGAAGCTCCTATCCAGCGATGCGGGCATAGTGTAAAGATTAGTCATTGAATAAAACAAACATGGTCAAATGGAATTTTGAAATAATCATAATGGTGAAATAAAACATAACTGCCAAAGGGAATTTTGATGGAACATAAAATGCACCTTGAATTTGAAGGTTTGAAATTTGGTTGCGGTGCTTTCTTTTTAATATCATATAATAATAAAATAAAATGAAAAGAATATACTACGTATCATACATAATTTATAGATGAAAATGTGGAACATTAACATTCACAAGTACATAATTTGATTAAATTTTGTCGCTATGTAGGCATATATTATATACAAAAAGGAGTTTGAACTATTTAAATTAGATTAAATTGTGCTTTCAAATATTCTCTTTACAATAGAATATAAAAAAAACTACATATTTAATGTAAATCCAACAAAACCGATGATAAATGACAAATAATAGGCAAGTTTCTAAAAAAACATTGCAATACATATCTGCTGTTAAAATTCGTGGGTTCGATTCCTGTTTGGAGGCAAATATTTCTATTATAGATGCCCCTTACTTGCCCCGTACTGATACTTCGAAAACCTGAGAACAGAGAGCTGACCATTAGGTATATCTATTCTATCTTTCCCAATATTGAATGTACATAGAGTTATGAGAAAAAGACAAAAGCTTTTGTCTTTAGTTAAAAGTACCCCAATAATACTAACCTTCGCTGTATGCGTTCTAAGACTGCTCTCAGTAGCGAACCCTTTCCCACATATATTGCAATGGAATGGCCTGTTCTTAGCCCTTTCTACCTGTGCGTCGTGGTTCCGTAGATGTTGCTGAAGATTGGACAGCTGTATGAAAGCTCTGCCACAGTCCGGCAAATGGCATTTATAGGGACGCTCGCCTGGAAAGAGAGTTGATTATAAATTACTGTTCATTACCGTAAGTGGATAAAGGGCAAGAATATACATATATATATGTAACATTTATAGCCTTTCTGTATAACTGATTCCAAAGACATGTTTTGTTAACTTAATAATGTATTAAGAAATATACATAACATAAAATTTACCAAGTAAATATTTTCTGACACTAAAATAATGTAATAATATAATATTTTACTTAGATACATCTGCTTGTACTGTTATTTGTATTTCATTGCCCAGACCAAACCACTAGATTATCGGTCTGAAGACTTGGAAGCGTATTTTAATATTACAGCCATCCTTTAAGAAAGGATGTTTTTGAAAGTCCATCCTTAAGGTGGTAACAATTAAAATACCCCTTTTGCATTAACAGATAGTAACACTAACGAATTAGAAACAAAATTTTTGTGTATCATATTAAAAAAAGCTCGCCAAAGCAGAGCATACGTAGAGATAAAAAAGCTGGAAAAAGTTAAATGCTTCACAATGAATCTGTACATGAATGTTAAATAAAGTTTTCCAGTTTTTTTGCAATTTATTCATTTATTATATTCAAAGACACGTCGACGAAGAAAAATTGACTCAATTCCTATAATTAGCTGTTCATCTCACGCTTTCGAACTGTTATTTTATACCGAGTGATACTTGACTAATGGTGTTTTAAGCATCTAGTTAGTCTGGCTTTTTAAATAGACTACTTCCTATTATGGCGTAATCGCAATATTTGCTTACTTATATTAATAATGCTTTTATTATGATTATATACATATTTGTTATACGAGAGTGGTAGCTACTTGAGGTTTTGTTTGCACGTTACTTGGGAAGACTTAGGTTCGAATTCCGACAGGTGATAATTAAATATATCAAATATACATCTAGATAATACTTAAAGTATTTCTTTAAATTCAACTTAAAATGGAGATAGCATTGGTAACTTTGTTTTTTTTCGTTAAGCAATTACTTCTTCTTATACAAAAAAAAATATCTTTTTGATTGTATTTAAAGTATCTTTGGAGTCTACAAATTCGATTTTTTTTAACTGTCTAATAAAAAATGTATTACGCTATATATAAACTATTTTTAGGAATTTAAAACCATAACACGATAAAATATGGCCTGATTGACGCCAAACAGCAAAGTGCACTAATACTAAATTGGCTTTCCGGTTATTCACCAACTAACCCAAAATTCAAGTTCAACCGCGACCTAACCCACGATGACCGCGCTCATTTTAAAAATAAGTTCGCAAAAAAAGAAGTGCATACATTCTCCGTCCAAGTAAAAAGTAGATTCCAATCTTATGCCTTACAGAAACATTCAATATATTTTCTTCAAGCAATATCTATATTAAAAAAATAAAATAATCAGTAGATATGCTAAATTTGCATAATTTTATATTTTACTAGACTAACTAAAATTAAATAAAAAATCTCATCAATTTTAGATTTAATTAAAAATTAAAAATATTTAACAACTCTTAGTTAAATGTAATTGTAATTTTATTATTATTCTTTACATTAATATGAAAAATCCTAAAATATTGAAATATTGTCCTAACGCATTTTCACAGATACCTATCGCTAAGTACATTAAACTATCACTAAATAAGATAATAGGTTATTTATTACATATCTCACTCAACTCCAAGCAATCAATTCGGTAACCCGGTCATTCACCGAATAACCTAAAACCGGAGTGCAACCGCGACCTAACCCACGATGACCGCGCTCATTTTTAAAATAAGTCCATAATAAAAGCAGCGCATACTTTTAGCCGTAGCAAGCAAATGCATGGGTCAATGTACGCACGCACACACACAACTATATACATATAGCATCTTTTCTCCACGTCTGTGTGAGTATTTTTGCATGTTTGAGAAGAATGCGCATGCACACATGCATTTAGAAAGATATTGTAGAATTATTTCCTAGATGCCACGCTACGATATATGAATATGACATACATGTAACTATAAATCTTTGGAGCACTAACGGTCCGATTCTATGGCACAGCAAATATTGAATAGAGTTTTGAAAATGTAACTTCCCGGTTAAGAATGGATGATGCTTTAATTTTAACTGTTATGTTTTAATTTGTTTAAATATCAAATGCTATGAATAAAAGACACCAAAATGGTCTAATATATAGTAAACTAGCGACTCATTGTCGCTTCGCTCGGATTCGTTCCTAGGTACGTTTTGACGATTAGTATGGAATAGATAGGCTATATATACATAGGTATAATGAGTGTTATATCCCTTACTTGAGAAACGATTGATTCCCAATGCAAAACTCCACAACCCCCCCCCCCTTTTCACCTCCTAAAAGATTTCCGGAGTAAAAACTATCCTATGTCCTTACCAGGATCTCAAACTATTTCCATACCAATTTTCATTTAAATCGATTCAGCCGTTTAGTTGTGAAAAGGTAACAAACAAGCAAATAAACAAACAGAGTTACTTTCGCATTTATAATATTAGTATGGGTAATCGTATTGTTAACATCAAAAACGAACTATTAATAAGAAACCTAAAATACTTAGGAATAAATTTTCTAATTCGATATTTTAATATTGAGGTATGTTATATATTATAGTGAATGTGTAATAGAGTTTCTAACGGTGTGTACTTTTATTGATAGTAAATTTTACAAGGCTATTTTATTGGATCAATAGATTTTGAAATATTACGTTACCCAACTTTATTATGCATAAGGGTTTAATGGAGTTCTCCAGAAATGACTTTATCAGTGTTATGACGGAAATATTAAAAATATACATTTTACAATAATTAATAGTTGTAATAACAAAATTTTAGGATAGTTAAGTTATGTAAAGCTTTGAAAGCTCTATATATAAATATATAAATGACATAACTTTGCTTAACGTATATAACTTATATATTGCTAAATTAATAATAAGGAAATAATACATGAGTTTGATTGGTTTTTTTTATTATTATTAATTACTAGGTAAATAGATAATGTATGATTATATTTAGAAAGTTATTCCAATTAAAAAAAATTTGTGCTGCTTCGATATCCACGTGGATGTATAGCGAATAGCACAACTATGAAATAATGAAATAAATTAAAAAAAATATACAAAGAAGTTAAAAACTTTTTACATTACTTTCACAGATTATCTAAAAACCTTCTACAGATTAAATCTTGTCCAAAGACCTTCCGGGTTCACTGTGCGCCGTACTATTGTAGCTTGGTCGGCCATTTTTCAATACAACCTACGCGTAAAGTCGACCATCAGAACATGACCTCTCATTTCTTGCACACTCACCTCTTATTGGTGTGAATGTAGAGTTTGGAGAGGGGGGTGGTAGTTCAGCGTATACTGGCATTGTATATGTATATTTTTGTTATTTTCTATGAATAAATGCAAAGGGAAAGGCGTTCGCCTTAGCACAGTTTGAACGATGTTCGCTTAGGATGGTATCTTTAGATTGTAATATTTATTGGTATTAATTTGCAAATATATCTCTATCGGATTTTGGTAGAGGATTTTAGTATTATCGTAAAATAAATCACACTCTATCGTTTGCTAAACGCTCGATAAATATATATTTTTATTATAAAAAAAATGTTTATTTTTTTATGTCAGCTTCATTTATTAGGAGTTTAGTCAGTAATTATATTTATCTATCACTTGTCTAACTTATACTACTTAAGAAAGACTTTTATTAAATACGTTTCCTATAAAGAGGCTAGATTGATTTTGACAAAACTATAAAGATTTTGTAGTTATAATGGAATAATGTATTAAGATTACTGTATATTATTCCAAAGAACACATTCATTAAAAACTATAGCATTAATTTGCAAAGAAATTAAATGTAGAAAATAGACAAAATGGTAATTACTTTCAAGCAACAATCGTCTAGATATCGAAATCAAAGACCTAGGCGGCCTGAGCCTACGCATTCGATTTACATACAAAAGTACTGCCTCACAAGTTTTGTCTGCGTAGGACTTGCATTCTTAGCATAAATATTATACGATGGTAAAAAGTTGCGAAATTAGCTTAAAAGAAAACTTTAATAGTGAAATGAAAATGGCTTGTTATGTCAGATACTAGATATTTGATTACCAAAAGGAAACTATTTCAAAATTTTCCTAATTAATTTTAGATTAATAAAAAACCTACAAGCATTTGATATAAAAAAAGATATTTAAGTCATTGAACTGTGTCGTTGAAAAAATAACTTACTAATATTACCAATATTCACTTAGAATCCTTTAGAATTTGCTTTAAACTCACACAAAAACCTTTTTTTTTTAATAAATTGAGTAAAATCAATAAATGTAACCAAAATTAATAATAAAATTGAATTAAAAGTGATATTAATGTTGTAATTAATAGTATATAATAGTTGTGGACCCGTTATAATAACAGGGAAATTATCAACAAAATAGGCAGGTATATTTTATATTTATAAATATTTAATTATCCTATTGTAGTTAGTATATCTTAATGCTATGTCCTTTGAGAATAGAAGGCGAGGTCACCGAGCAATTTAAATGTATCTAAAATAATCTGCAGAACATATTCATTCTGCATTAAAAAGCTTAGAATGCAACAAAAAAATATATTTCTTTAATATTTTTACATTATAAAAATTTTGAAGCTCATTTATATAGCACGGTTGTGGTAAAACCATTAGGTTTTAAAACCGTATATTATTAATAATAATATTTTTTTATAGAATTTTTAGTTATACTTATTATTTTTTTATAGTTTATAAAAAAAGAAGATAAAAAGCACATCAAACGTAGAGCATTCCGTGTCGATTTTAAAGCAAAAGCCGACGGCGCGCGTTGCGAATTTATTTTTGAATTTGGGACGCAATCTTACGAGCCGTTTTAACTTGTACCTACCAGTGATTCTTGCATGTTTTCTCCTTCAATATTGTAGAAATTGAATCGTTTGATCATTATTCACATGCGTTTGTATAGAAAATAAAATATA